TAAACCCTACTTAGTCATGATGCATTATCCTTTTAACCTATTTCTAAATACTATATACTAAACTTTTTGAATATATATTTATAGGGAATATTAGTCTGTAATTTTTTCGTCTTTGTTAGATTCTGCTATTTGAGTCATACTGGCCTCATATATCAAGTCGGGAAAGGTCGTGAGAATATTTTGAGTAAATGAAAATCAGAAACAAAAAGGAAGTCATACATTGACCTGTGAGCTGGAAATCAATTAATAGTTTTTCGCCTTTCTGAATGTGCCAGGTTGTGCATTCTGGAATTTGTCACAGGCTCTGAAATAATGGTAAGGAGATGGGGCTTTGGCAGTGTTATATATCAGCGGAAACAGAATCAGCTGAAAGTGGGAAGGCTGAGCCACATCGATTGCTAAATGGAGTAAACTTAGAGCAATTGGTTTGGATGTAAAATGGTTCATTCGCCCTATTCCAACTTTGTACAAAACTTTTCCTTGGACATATTGCTTTTTTGATACCATTTAGAAGAAATAAATTAATCGGTAATTTATATAGCTTTAACAACTTTAAAAAAGAAGTTAATGTTATTGTAACAGAACAGGCATACGCTAGGCCAGTTTTAGTTTTCTTAATATAATTGACCTACAGCACTGTGTAAGTTTAAGGTGTATAGATAGCATAATGACTTGACTTACATATATTGTGAACTGTTTACCACGAGCTTCGCTAATATCTATCACCTCAGATAGATGAAGAAGAAGGAGGAGGAGGAAGAGGAGAAGGTGGAGCAGGAGAAGAAAATGTTTTTTTCCTTATGATGAGAACTTTAAAGATTTACTCCCCTAGCAGTTTTCAAACGTCCCATTTATATAAGTGTTAATTATAGCCATCACGTATAGCACATCTCCATGACGTGTTTATCTTATCACTGGAAGTTTGTACCTCTTGACCACCTTCATCCAATTCCTCCATCCCCTCCCCACCTTTAGTAACCACAAATCTGATCTTTTTCCTTCGAATTTTATTTTATTTTTGTTTGTTTAGATTCCGCATGTAAGTGAGATAATACAGTATTTCTCTTTCTCTGACTTCTTTCGCTTAGCATAACGCCTTCAAGGTCCATCCACATTGTTGCAAATGGCAGGATTTCCTTCTTTTCATGGCTGAATAGTATTTCACTGTGTGTATATCATATTTTCTTCATCTGTTCATTTGTCGACAGACTCTTTGGTTGTTTCCAGAGCTACTGTAAATAATGCTGCAATCAACACGAGGATGCAGACATCTCTTAGACATGATCACTTTTGTTTCCTTTGGGTAGGCTCCCAGAAGTGTAATTGCTGTATCATAAGGTAGTTCTAGTTTTAAGTTTTTGAGGAACCTCCATGCTGTTTTCCATAGTGGCTGCACTAATTTACATTCCCACCAACAGTGCACAAGGGTTCCGTTTCTTCCACATCCTCACCAGCATCCGATATCTCTTGTCTTTTTGATGACAGCCTTTCTAACAGGCATGAGGCGGTGCCTCATTGTGGTTTTGATTCTCATTTCCCTAACGATTGATAATGTTGAGCACCTTTTCATGTGCCTGTTGCCCATTTGTGCCTCATTGTGGTTTTGATTCGCATTTCCCTAACGATTGATTAAATTAGTTGAGCACCTTTTCATGTGCCTGTTGCCCATTTGAATATCTTCTTCGGGAAAATGTCTATTCAGGTTCTTTGCCCATTTTTTAATGGGGTTGGGTTTTTTGTTTGTTTTTGCCTATTCAGTTGTATGAGTTCTTTATATATTTTCGATATTAACCCCTTCTCAGATATATCATTTGCAAATATTTTCTCCCATCCCATAGGCTGCCTTTTCATTTAGTTGATGGTTTCCTTTGCTGTGCAGATACTTTTCGGTTGGATGTAATTCTACTTGTTTATTTTTTACTTTTTGTTTTTGTTTGTTTTTGCCTATTGAGTTGTATGAGTTCTTTATATATTTTCAATATTAACCCCTTCTCAGATATATCATTTGCAAATATTTTCTCCCATCCCATAGGCTGCCTTTTCATTTAGTTGATGGTTTCCTTTGCTGTGCAGATACTTTTCAGTTGGATGTAATTCTACTTGTTTATTTTTTACTTTGTTGTTGCATCATATCCAAAATATCATTGCCAAGACCCATGTCGAGGAGCTTTTAATCAGGCCAGTTTTTAAAAATTTGTGTATTATGTGGACTACTTTCAGACAGAAGTAAATTTTCTGACCTCATATGTTGAGTTTTACTATTTTTATTATGATCTTATTTGAAATTTATAAACATAAAACTATAAACTCGTATTCTTTGCTTTTACACGACTATATAAAAGCAATGCACACGAATTAAGTGTGAACAAACTTTGAAAACAATGAAATGCAAGTTAATAACATTAATGTAAAGAATGATATTGATTTACTGAACCTAAATTGGGGCTTACAGTCAGAAAGTAGTACTCATGAGTTCTCTTGAGTTTGGCAGGCCTATATTACTGGATGGTGACTTAATTCTTCTGCCATTTTTCTCCATTTGAACTTACATGAACTGTTCATATATCAATGGTTACATCATGTAAGTGTTAAGTCTACCTATGTGCCTCTATTTTTTTCTTTTTAGCCAGAGATTATAAAGTACCATTTAATACCAATGCAAGTATAAATGCAGGCAGCAAATCGTGTACCGATATCCAGCCTTCCAGGCCTAATCCAGATGATTTAGAATTCGATCATACTAATTTATTTTAGATTATCATCAGAAATGCATAATTTAGACATCTCTCAGAAAACTGTAGACCTTCAAGAATATAAATCACCGTTGCCTGTGGGCCCAACATCATAACATTAGAAGTTGCAAACGAAGAAAAGATTAGAAGTGTCGCTAAGGCCCAGAGGCCCTAGTGATCTTGTCAGGGCACATGGTAAATGTTTCACTCCTTGAGTTCTAGGGAGCCTGAGTGTGAAAACAGAGGAACCAGAGAGAAGCCAGGTCATGATGGAGAAAATGCACCAGGTGTGCTTGTTAAACCAGCATGGATGTACACGCAGCCGCTGGCTTCCTGCACTGTTCACCTATGGAAGGCTGGATGTCTTTGTTGCCTTCCACGTGAAATTGTTGGATTCAGTTGTCATAGGCAGAATCACAAACCTAGGGCTTAGTAAAATACGGCTCATGGTGCCAGGGTGTAACTGCGTTTTCAGATTTTTGCATATTGAGTTTCCTTAAAGCAAGACACATCAGAACAGGGAGAGTTTTTCTTTTTCTGAAATGTTAGACTTGCTGTGTGTGTCCTTTACTTATTTAGTATTTCAAAATTTTTTTTTATTGGGGTAAGAACATTTAACATGAAATATACTCTTAACAGAGTTTTAAATGTACGGTAGAGTATTATTAATTCTAGGTGTGATGCTGTACAGATCTCTAGCACTTGTTCACCTTGCAGAAACTGAAACTTTATACCCCTTGCATGACAGCTCCCCATCTCCCCCTCCCCCAGCCTCTGGCAACTACCATTCTACTCTCTGCTTCTATGAGTTTGAGTGTTTTAGGTACTTCATGTAAGTAGAATCGTACCGTGTCTTTCGGTGGCTGGCTGATTTCACTTAGGATAGTGTTCTCGAGGCTCATCCATATGTCACAGATGACAGATTTCCTTCCTTTTTCAAGGTTGCATAATATCCCATGCGCCCTTCCGATGTTGCACACTGAATGCAGCGTCTTGTCTTTCAGTCCCATGCGACCCACCTGGACTCTTCTCTGTTGTCAATTCTCTAACCTCTTGTCATTTTCCAAATGTCTTCAGAGTCCCCATTGACCGGGGGCTTAAATAAAGAGAACGAAAGCAGGTTTGGGGATCCAAGGAAGGGCTGAAGCCTGAGCAGGAACTTACTAGGGGTCGAATCCCACAATCGTGTGGTGCTTTGCAGCCTCCCTACTGTTTGCAGAGGGTCACTGCCCCAGCGAATTATCAATTTCCCATGGACCATCTTATAATGTAGCTCTGGAAGGTTTTTCCATCACTTCTCCACCCTGTGGAAATACCTATATCATGGGGACTGAGCTCAATTTCCCTTGACCACTCCAGTTTTAACTTTACCCATTGGGCGTGGCCCTGCCAGCCCACCCAGCTGCCCCAGTGGGCCCACCCTCCACCAGACACTCTTCCCAGCCTGTCAGTGGACATTCCTGAGCACAGGGGGCTTGTGCAGAGGGCACATTTTGAGGGGATTCCAAAGGCCTATGGTTGGTAAGCCCATTGAAATTCTATACAAAATATTAGCTGAATTTTTCTAATCTTCAGCCTCAATACTCATAGATCTCACACTTTGTAGATGGTAAGTTAAGTGGTAATTGAGGCTTATAAATTTTTATGTAATTTATTCTGGTTTTCTTCCAATGGCTTGTGAGGTAGAACTTAAATAAAGCTTCGCTATAGTTGCTTCTTCTTGTTTAGAGAGTCTGGCATAATATTTTGTCTTTTGGGCTCAAATAACCATGTAATTACTCTGTAATCATATAGTAATTAGCATGTACTATATGCATTTATTACATAATTATATTCCTGGAGGATTGCATGGCAATTACACTTGCATTCAGCATATCATTTTATATACTATATAATGAACAAGTATATAATTTGTTGCTTTTTTTTTTTTTTTATCCTAATTTCAGTTTACCAGCCAGGAGCTGGAAACTTCTCTTGTTGCCTTGTAGTCGGCAGGTGCCTGAGCTCCTTTGGCCTCTCTCAATACCTCCTAATTATACATCTGAGGCAGTGCTAGGAGCCTGTGTTCTTCTGTGGCTTCCTAGCATTTGCATTCCTAATACTTCCTCCTTGTCCCGAAATCATTAAGTGTTTAGCTTCAAAACACAGAGTTGATCAAAGTTCCCATCACTGCCAGGTGAACGGCAAGGACTCAGTTAAAACAGAGGAGGTGTGAGCAGCCCGGGCGCCCAGCACAGTGATCACGCCCGTCTCTCTCTCCTTTTGCAGTCGAGCACATTCCCAAAGGGAACAACTGCCTGGATGCCGCCAAGGCCTGCAACCTCGATGACACCTGCAAGAAGTACAGGTCTGCGTACATCACGCCGTGTACCACCAGCATGTCCAACGAAGTCTGCAACCGACGCAAGTGCCACAAGGCCCTGCGGCAGTTCTTCGACAAGGTTCCGGCCAAGCACAGCTACGGGATGCTCTTCTGCTCCTGCCGAGACATCGCCTGCACCGAGCGACGGCGGCAGACCATCGTGCCCGTGTGCTCCTATGAGGAGAGGGAGAAGCCCAACTGTCTGAATTTGCAGGACTCCTGCAAGACGAATTACATCTGCAGGTAAGCGTGCCGGCAGCCGGGGGATTCATGAGGCGACGGGGCGAACCTCTGCAGCTGCTGCAGTGGCCAAGCTCCCATTTCGTTTGTACCGGAGAACAGGTGGGAGGGGAGGGCAGTCACCGGAAGGGACTGGCCAGAAACTGACCTCTATATCTGACACATGGCTCTTCAGAAGCTGGCCAGGCTCTTGTGCTGGGGCAGGTTGCTGTCTATAACCTGGAGAAAGCTTTGAGAGGTACCGGAATGAGGGAAATACCACTGTGCTGGGAGGGTCACCTGAGGCCAGGTGAGCTGGAAGGCACATGCCCACTCTGCAAGCCCAAACATGCCACCAGGTGTCACAAGGGGTTAAGTAAGACAGGAAAGGTAGGCTAGAGATGTGGAGGCTCTTGACCATCAGCTCAGAGAACCGTAAGGGACCAAAGAGAGGGACTGAGCTGGGTTGAACCCTGAAGATGAGTTCCAGAATGCCTCCGTCTGTTCTGGGCCACTCAGTTGGGTATACTGTTAAGCAGAGCTGGGTCACCTT